TCATCCCTGGGACTGCTGGCTTCAGGAGGACACTGAGCTGGTGAGTAGGAGCTGTGAGGCTTCATAAGCCCACATGAGAGATGCCATCTTCATTTGTAGGAGAGATTGGAAGCTAATTTTGTAAGAGAATCCATTTGAATGACTAGTTTTCAGGTGATGAGCAAGTTCCTAACTCCTGTAACTGCCACCTATGGACTTCTGCTTCAAGGCTGTGTGGCCCTTGCATATTGCTAGACTGCTGGCAAGTGTGAGAGTTTTGTACCATTCAGACTATGGACACTGACCATCCCCAGTGCTGCTGAACTGTTATAACTCCGACAACATGGCCCAGAGTGTACTCTGGCTCAATGTGGCCTGAAACTGACATTCTCAAGCAGGACCTGCAGGAGGCTGTGGGCCAATTCAAGACCAGCGCTAGGGCCAAGGGCTCCCTTCCTTGGCTGCACAAAGCCTTGGCGGCTCATTCATAGGAAGACTCCCACAAGGTACCCACCACTTAGCCTGTCCTTTACTTTTTCAGATGAGGTCAGATATGTAGCCCAAGCTGGTCTTGGGCTTGCAGAGATATTTTTCCTCTGTCTCTCAGGTTCTGAGTTTACAGGTATTATGTCACCATACCTGGTCACCTAGCCCTTCTTGAGGGGTGCATTGAGATGACAGAGCATTGCTTTGGGTGCATCATTCTGTCCCAGGAGGCTAATTGCTAGGAGCATCTGTGTGCCTTCTGAGGCAAGGGTCTTCTGGGAACATAGACCTCACCTCTACTCCCCATCCTTGCAGGCCTCAGATTCCAGTGCCTTTGGAGGACTGCTCTGTCATCAGCTGCTGCCAAACGCACACTGGAAATAGAAATGTTTGGGGAAAGTAATTATTTCCTATGTCAGGAACATAGAAGAAAATATCCAGGGCATCCCCTCCCCTTTTTTTGTTTTTGTTGTTTGTTCGTTTTAAAACAATCTTTCTATGTAGCCCTCGCTGGCCTAGAACTCCCTATAGAGAGCAGGCTGGCCTTAATCTCAGAGACTCACATGCCTGTCTCCTGAGTGCTGGGATTAAAAGCATTTACCACCATGCCAGGCCATGGTAGATTCCTTTTTGTTTTGGTTTGTTTGTTTGCTTGTTTTTGAAACATGGTCTCACTAGACAGCCTGCCTTAGTTTATTTCTCTTTGTTGCTGTAAATGGTGTTTACAGCATTTGGTCATGGTTGACCAAAACCAGCTTGGGACAGAAATGGCTTATTCAGTGTACATCATTGAAAGAAGCCCAGGCAGGAACCTGGAGGCAGGAACTTTATAAAAGCCAAGTCATTGTGACCCATCACTAGTGGCTCTCATGCAACTGAAGCACACAAGTTTTTGCTTTGCTCCTGGTCTCGAATGTGCATTGACAACGCAATCTCTCCGGCACCATCGTTTTTGTTTGTTGATTGGTTGGATTTTCAAGACAGGGTCTCTTTCTGTAGCCCTGGCTGTCCTGGAACTCTCTATATAGACCAGGCTGGCCTCAAACTCACAGAGATCCTCCTGCCTCTGCCTCCTATGTGCTGGGATTAGAAGCATATTCCACCATGCCCGGTTGTCAGGGTCTTTCTTAGCCCTTTCCAAACCCAAACTCAACCAGCTGTGTCATCTTCCTTTGACCTCAGTGTACAGTGGCCCCCAAGCCTGACTATCTTCTTGATGTGAGGCTCTGTGCACATCCGGAAGCCTGGTTGGGAAGGACTACCTCCTGCCCACCACCGTTCTTTAGGTCACTGCTCACTAACCACCTGTCTTCTCCCTTCTGCTTATTTACTCAGGGATTTGATTCTAGAGTAATTTCTATGGTTCCATTGGTCAAGACTGACATATGTTTCCCTGCAGTCCTGAGTATTGAGCCTAGGCCTCATGCATACTAGGCAAGCACTCTACCACTGAGCCGTGTCTGTGGCTCTAACACACACACACACACACACACACACACACACACACACACACACTTTTATAGCAGCTTTATTTATAATTGCCTGAACTTGGAAACAACGCAAATGTCCTTCACTGAGTGAATGGATAAACACACTGGTCCATTCAGACAGAGGAACATTGCTAAGCCCTGGAAAGAACTGAGCTACTGAGCCGTGAAAAGACTCAAAGGATGTGTAAATGATTATTGCCAAATGAAAGAAGCCAGTGTGGGACTGGCAAGGTGGCTTGGTGGGTACAGGCCCTTGCTGCCAAGTTTGCCCACCTGAGTTTGATCCCTGGAACCCACAAGGAAGGACAAAGCCAACTCCTACAAACTGTCCTCTGACTTCCCTGTACCCGCCTACCTACCCATCCACACAAATAGGCCAATGCCATCTTTAAGATTTAGGAGTCAGGGCTGGAGGGATGGCTCAGTGGTTAAGAGCATTGGCTGCTCTTCCAGAGGGTCCAGGTTCAATTCCCAGCACCTACATAGCAGCTCACAACTGTCTGTAACTCCAGTTCCAATGGATCTGATACCTTCATACCAATGCACATAAAATAAAGTTAAATAAATTATATTGAAAAAATTTAGGAGCCATTGTAAAAAGGATGCAGCCTATGCTTCCAGCCCCCAACACTCTGGAACAGGCAACACTACCAGGGTTAATGAAAAGATCAGGCGCCTGAAGGCAAGAAGAAATTCCACAGGGAATTTTCAGGGCCATCACACTATTCTTTTCGATACTATCGAGCTGGATCTATACTGGTTTACACTGTCCAGACAGATAGAATGTTCAACCCCTAAAGTGGCCCCTGGTGAGAATTGCAGGCCTTGAAGTACTGCTGCGTTGTGTTTTAAGCCGGGCATTGGTGGCAGAGGCAGATTGATCCCTATGAGTTTGAGGCCAGCCTTCCAGGACAGCCAGGGCTACACCGGGAAACTGTGACAAGTGTACCTCTCCAGCACCAAGAGTGTTTTGTTTACTTTTAAGGGTCTCATCATGTCACCCTTGTTGGCTTGAAGCTTGCTGTAATCTCCCTGCCTCTGCCTCCCAAAAGCTAGACTGTAAGTGTGTGCCACTAGTCACACTACTTTTGTTTTTTGTTTTTGGGTTTGTTTTTTGCTTTTTGTTTGTTTGTTTTCAGACAGTGTTCCTCCATGTAGCTCTGGCTATCCTGTAACTCACTTTGTAGATCAGGCCAACGTTAAACTTAGAAATTTGCTTGCTTCTGTTTCCTGAGTGCTGGGATCTGGCTGCTGCAAGCCCCCATCTCTAACCCCCACCCCAGGACTTCTTTTTAATAGCTGGGCAGTGGTGATGCATGCCTTTAATCTCAGCACTCAGGAGGCAGAGGCAAGCAAATCTCTGAGTTTGATGCCAGCCTGGTCTACAGAGTGAATGCCAAGATAGCCAGGACTTTACAAAGAAACACTGTCTCGAGAAAAAGAAAGTTGTTTGTTTCTGTGTATACTTGTGTGTCTGTGGGGAATATGACTGCAGTGCCTGCAGAGGCTAGAAGGCATCAGAAGCCCCGGAGTGGGAGTTACAGGCAGCTGAGAGCCACCCTGTGTGGGTGTGGGAACTCTGTAAGAGCAGTTCACTCTCTTAACCACAGAACCGGTACCGCTACTCCCCCTTCTTAATAAAAAGGGATTCTGAGTGGAGGGAGTATGTGAGGGGCATTAGGGAACTGAATGCCATGCTTTCGGTTCAGTTTCTCTGTAAACTGAAAACTTCTCTAAAACTCGAGGTCTACTAATTATTTTTAAAGTCTTGTGTGGAGGGCTAGGGGTGGGGAGCTCATTTAATGGAGTGCTAGCCTAGCATGTGTGAAGTCCTAAGTTCCATTCTTAGCACCCCATAAAACCGGGCATGTTGGCACACCCCTGTAACATCAATACCCCCCTGAGGTACTGTCAGGAAGATCTGAAGTTCAAGGTTATCCTAAACAATATAACAAATTCGAGAACAGCCTAGGGTTACATAAGACCTCCTCTCAAAGATTCAAAGCAAAAAACTCCAAAGCTCAAACCTAACCCCTCCCCCCAAAATACAAGCAGAGCTGGACTTGGTGACCCGTGGTTGCAATCTCTGCTTTTGAGAGGGTAAGGCAAGGAGATTGCTGAGGGTTCCAGACCAATATGGGCTACATAGTGAGTTCAAAGGCAGCCTGAGCTATGTACTCTGTCTCCAAAAACCAAGCCAAATAAAACATTCCCAATAACAAAAAAAAACACACGATTTTTACTCAAGAGCTAGTTCATAACTGTTTGTTAGGTTTGTAATTTGATTTGTCTTTCCGGTTTGGGTTCCGGTGCTGCATGGAACTCAGGTCCTGGTGCACGCTAAACAAGTGTTCTACCACTAAGGTTCCGGACTCCGGGGATGAAGATGTTTTGCAAGCCTATCTGTCATCAATCCCCATTCATAACTCCTCCTCCCCACTCCCCTACAACCTCCATGGCCTGCTTTTCTCTTTTTCTAACCCATCTCTGCTTTCTGCTTCCAACATGAATAGGCTGTTTTCTTCCATCCAAAAAATGCAACCTCGGGGCCTAAGAGGATTCCCATTTTTGCTTCGGATGCTGGGCTGACCTTACAGGCACTTCTCTGCATCTGTCTCCCTTGGGCTGCTAGGACTCTGGCCTCCTTTCCCCCTTCTGAGGAAGAGTGCTCCAGGGTCTAGGTCTAGGCCAGGCGCCAATATGAACTGAGGCTCTAGAGGCCTGGCAGTGCGGTTCCCTCTGCCTGTCTGAACTGCCATACCCTGTTCCCTGCCCCTGGTCCCAGATGGAGGTGTCCATTTCGCTACCTGGTAGCATTACCCCTCTACTCCCCACGCCCAGCCAGCTGAGGGGCGCCAACACGGCGGTGGGGACAGGAGGTGGCCGGACGACAGCTGGGGGGGCGGCCCTGACCTTCCAGCAATCGATGGGGCGCGGCCGGCCGCGCGGAGCCGGGGCGGTGCCGGAGCCCCCTGCCTGCCGCAGGGGCAGCTATAAAGCAGGGGCGCGGGGCTCAGGCTGCAGTTGCACACACAGAGCCGGACCATGGAGCCTCCACTGCCCACACCGCCGCTACTGCTGCTGCTGTTGCTGCTCGTGGGCTCCGCCGCGCTCCCTGCGCCCCCCAGGTGAGCTGGGTAGGGGGACTCCACTTCACCACGGCCACGCCCACAGGCCCATTTGGTCGTACTCTGAGCCCCCTCACGCCGCCTCTCCCCAGGATCCCAAGGCACTCAGACGGGACGTTCACCAGCGAGCTCAGCCGCCTGCAGGACAGCGCCAGGCTGCAGCGCCTGCTGCAGGGTCTGGTGGGGAAGCGCAGGTGAGCAGCCTGAGGTAGAACTCTCCAGACTTGCTGGTATGGGACAGGCCTGGCATGGTCCCCTATCAGCAGCCTGCCACATCCCAATACTACCACTAATTCTAAATTGGGCTGGGGTGGGGGGCAGTGAGCAGGACACAGAAAGTATCCCAGAGAACAGCCTGGCCCGGTCCAAGCCTTCAGAGGACCAGCTCTGCTTGCTGTGGTCGAACACTCAGGCCCTACAGGACTGGTGAGCATTCCACCCTCAGCTGGACTCCTAAAGCACCCTTTCCTGTTCCCTCGCCACGTGGGAGCGTGCGCTCTAATGGTCACTTCTAATCCCCTGACCACCTATCTCCCTCCACAGGCTTCTCCCCAGGCTTCCCCTGGATGGGTCCTGGTCTCCCTGGCTGCCTCCTGGACCAAAGCCTGCCGTCGATGTTTCAGAGTGGACTGAAGCAACCAGGCAGCCCTGATGAGGGAGGAAGGGGCCTGGCTGGAGCCAGGGTTTGGTTGTCCTTGGTATCAATAAAGAAGGAATTTAGACCCTGGTCTTTTAGCTCATGGTGTGGTGATGTCTTATAAAATCAAGGCAACCCCTGCTCAGTGAGCTTGGCAGGTGTGGACAGTTCCGTCAACCTCATACAATGGCTAGGACCACACCCAGCTGCCCTTTGAACTTGGGAGGTCAGCTAAGACATTTCTTCCTTATCTCCAACATCAACTGTACTCCTCTTTCCCCAGTTGAACTCCCCAGTGTCCCACCCTGCCCTGGGATCCCAGGGATCCCAGCCCTGGTTCAGCCATGTGGTCGGGGTGCTTAGAGTAACGAAGAGGCCCAGGCAGGACAGATAGGCTTTACTTGTGAGTGGAAGGACCTGCCTGCATGTCTATGTGGTCTTGGCACAATCCTGAGCCTGGATAGTGATGTCATCTCCCAGTAGACAGCTGTGGGACCACTGAAGGGTCATGAGACAAAGTACTTAATCCTGACAGAGGTCTGGAGACTCAGGCATCCAGAGCAGCTCCGAAGAGGCCCAGAGTGATGATGGCTCTGCAGGCCCTTTCAACACAACACTCCTACCACCCTCCTGGCTCCACCTAGAGGCCTCTCCCCAGCTCTGAGGGATTATAGGGGAGAGGGGAGCAAGCAAGGAAGACTGGAGCAGGTCTAATGGAGGCCTGGGCTGTGTCTT